GTCGCCGACGCCGAGCCGCGGGGGTGGCGGGCGGGAGTCGGGCCAGCCTCTGGCGGAGGCCGTGCTCGGGGCTGGGCGGCCGGGCCTAGTGACAGGTGGGGCGGGCGGGCGATGGGAGCCCACCTGTCAGAGTGGCCGGCCGGCCGGGGTCTTCGAGGACCGAGGGCCTGCGCGCCTGCGCGGTTCCCGGGCGGGTCCCGGGCGGGGCCGAGCGCCCAGGTTGGGGGCCGGGGCCCAGGTGGGGCCTGTGCTGGGGCGAGGCCGCACCCCCAGGTGGGATGATGAGCCCTGACCGCTGCGCCCGGCTCTGCCAAGGGGCCCGGGTCTGACCCTGCTGCTGGTGGGCGCTACTGGTGCCCGCAGGGAGCCTTTGCACTTGGAGAGGTGACTTAAAATCCCCGTGTGGGACCTGCTTGGCCAGCTCTCCTGTCAGGATTGGGCAAGGAATGTCCCTGCTGCCTGGAGGCCTGCCTTGTGCTGGTGGGGAGACATTTCCTTTGAGAAGTGATTGTTAAACTTCTTTTTTTCATTCTCACTCATTGCTTGTCTTTCCTTCCTTTTTACCAGATAAGTCCGGTTTCTTCTGTGGCGGGGTGCGCAGTTACAGCCTTGGTTTCCTGGATCTGGTAACATGGCAAAAGATGTAAGTATGTTTGCTTCGTGCTGTAGACGTGTTAGCATAGCACTAATTCTTTGCAGTTTTCTCCCTTTATTTCAGAGCGGCCGTATATGTACCACAGTGGTTCATCCTCAGACTTTTTACACGTAGGAGATGTAATGGATGTGAGGGATGGAGATCCAGTAGGTGGGAGCCTCGCCTCTGCGCTGGTGTCATCTGAAGCCTGACACGTTATATGTGCTTGAATGGTGTTACTGTGGTTTTTCCTGAATCTGCGCAGGCTTTGTTAAATTAAAATTTTTTCAGTCAAAATGAATGGGGAGGGTTGGTTAATGGGCTTCCTATATAGGAGGGCTATCAACACGTTGTCCTGGAGCATTTGCTGCACTAGTCTAACTTAGTATGTAGGACCATAATTTAGCTTTAATGGACCAAATACCAATTTCTTGTTTGGGTACATTTTTCTCAGAAAGAAGACATTTGATGATTAATGAAACATGGTGGAAATGCTGGTTGGTTTAGCTTCATATTTATCATGAGGCAATTGAATTATCTGAATAATTTTTTTGAAACTGGTATGGAGAGATTGGCATTTAGGCTCCAAAATATAATCTGTATTGTTGGTCACAGACATCTTTGTAATATCACTTTAAGTCTTTCAAACACTAGTTGAGTTCTTTAAAGTGTTTCTCAGCATACAGCGTTCTCTGGATAGTAGTATGGCATCTCCTTCTATGTTTACATATTTTCTGTACAGCATTGGAAGTACAAGCAGATATTGTGCATCAGCCAGAGGTATGCCCGATGTGGTGATGATATGTTTATGGTGTGGGGCCAGGTACAGGTGCTGAGCCCTGTCCCTCCAACTTCAGGTTGTAAGGACTCCACCAGTCTGAATGACCCACATGGGTCAGGTCCCTCTCTCTCTGTCATTATGCACTGGGCCTGCTCTTGAGACTTGTCCACACCCTGGAGGGGGCCTGTGTAGATCACTTGAAGTCATATGTGATGTGGCTTGATCTTGTCACCTCCAGTTTGTCTGCAGCTATGCCCCCTCTCATATGTGTGCCTGGATGAGAGACATACTGCTCAGCACCTGCCTGAAAAGCAGCTAGATTTGTTAAGCAGTAAATGGGGTGCTGTCTAGATTTGTTAAATAGATGGGGTGCTTTAATGAGGACATGTTTCTGTCATGGTGTAGTTTCAAGGAACATTGCATTTTCAGTGACTAAATGAGTATAGAGACCTGATGTGGCACTGGTCCTGTCATCTTTGGTTTGACATTGTTCACTCACTTGGCCTTTTCCATTCCTGCGCTCCTGTTTGGGGGTGGGGGGCACTGTGAATGTGCTGAAATGTGGTCAGGATCTCTCATCATAGGTGGAAGTGTGAGGGCAGCCAGCTGGTTTTTGGTTGTCCGTTGAGTTGTGATGGCTGAGTTGGTGCTATGAGGGGTCAGTGGTGCTAAAGCCTGAGAAACACCCGAGTAGAGGTAAAGTAGCCCTCCCTGTTTTCAGGCTGGGTGAGGTCAGAATGCTTGGGTCAGGCTGGATATTGTAGACAGTCAAGGATTGAACCTTTTCTGTAGCCAACCATGTTTTTAAGTAGAATGTGACATTTGAGTTTCAGAAAGGGACTTAGCAGCATGTGTTGAAGAAGAAAATAGAGGAGCTGCTGAGGTTTTCTAAGCAGTGATACTTAGAATGAAATCTATCTCTATCCTGTATACCTGGCGGGGGGAGCGTATCCCTAGGTTGAATTGGGGTGCCAAACCTGAGGTTCCATTGAAGGCTACAAAACCAGTGAGAACAGAAGGGGCAGAGGCAAGCTCTAGGTCACGATGGAAGAGAACCGGCAATGATATAGAAAAGTCAGAGAAATGGCTTAGGAGGATCCTGCTTCAGCTGAGGTTCTAGAAGACCAGCAGATGAGTTATGTTCCATGTGAGCTACGTGCTAAGGACCAGGGCAGACAGTGCCAAAGGCACGAGTCATCAGTGAACAGGATGAGGGTACCAGGAGCTGGTGGGTTGACCTGGCAAAGAGTTCCTTACATGAGGGAGAAGAAAGGTGATCTGGCAAGATGTAGGAGGGGGGCAGGAAAGTAGAGTGATGGTGGAAGGTGTGGTAAGCACCTGCTGGTATTGAGGGGGCCCACTTGGATGCTTCCTTGTAGAACTGTAGATTAAAAATGAGTGTGCAGGAGGAGCCATGGTGTTAGTGGCTAGAGTGGTCTTGAGTGAGGGGGTGTGTCTCAGAAAGTGAAAGTCATCCTCAAAGTTACTGCTAGCAGTTACTGCTTGGGGAGTTGTGACTCCTGGTGCTGTCTTACTGGGAAGACTGCATTCTTGGACTTGCCCAGCATCAGAAAGGTTTGTAAATGGTGAGGGAGGTTGATGGTTATTTCTCAAAATGTTATAGGGATGCATGTACTGAGACACAGAGCCTACTACTGTCCATGCTGCTCGTGCTCTGTCCCTGTCCATGGGTTCCCTCCAAGCTCCATGTTCTGTTAGTAGGAAGAAAGATACAGTGAATACCAACACAGTGGCTCTTGTTTATAAGTTCTACACCTGCAGGTTCAGTCAGCCACAGATGGAGAATATTTGGAAAAGTTTGTACTGAATACATTTGAACTTTTGTCCTTGTCATTATTCCTTGGACAATTTAGTGCAACAGCTGCTTGTAGAGATTTTGTATTGTCTTGGCCATAAAGAGATAGTTTAAACTTTAAAGGCTGTAGAGGATGTGTGGAGGTTCTGTACAAACCCTGTGTATTTTATATAAGGCTCTTGAGCATCTTTGGATTTTAGTATCCAGTGGTGGTCCTGAACACTTCCCATCTCTCCCCACCCCAAGATGCTAGGATTAACCATGGGCTCTTTAGCATGGTGGGGGCGGGTGTCTCAGGTCAGCCGCTGGGCCAAGAGTATGGCTATATAAGTTAGTGCTAGGATTTATATCCCTTTGCTTTGAGAGATGGCCTATGCTGTCTTAGAGATTTATGGAAAAATCCTTGTATTGTTGAGAACTGGAGGTTAAAGAGAAGTGAATCCTATCTTCTCAGCTGCTTAATGAACCTCTTCTCAAAGTCTATTGCTTACATTTTGGTCTTTTCATAGAAATCCTGTATCTGCATGTTCCAGACTCAGGGAGTTTATGTGTTCCCTTTAGTCCTGGTGCAAGGCACCTCATGACACAGGTACATGTGCTGGGAACCCTGGTCTCCTGTCACATTATAGATCTGCAGTCTTTTTTTAAATTTTTTTAGATCTGCAGTCTTAGGAAAATGAGACAGTGAGCTCTGAGATGGTGGCAGATGTCCACTCTGCCTCCCTTTCTGTGGTGTCCTCTTGCCGGTGTTCCCCCAGCAGCTGACTGTTCTGTGTGTTAGTTATTTCTCTTTTTTCTGTGACAAATGTCTGACATATCAACTAAATTGTTTATTTTGGCTCACTGCTTGAGAGTATACAGTCCATGGCAGGGAAGGCATGGTGATGGAAGCATAGGGGACTGGTCACATATCTGCAATCAGAAAGCAGAATTACCTTATGGTGCACAGCCGGCTTCCTCTTTTTTTTCCCCCCTTTGTTTTCAGTCTGGGACCTCAGCCCTTGGGATGATGCCACATACATTCATAGTGGGCTTCCCTCCTCGGCTAAACCTCTCTGAAAACAGACATCTAGAAGAGTGTCTCCTAGGTGATTCTAAATCCTGTCAAACTGACGATGAGAATTAATAATCAAAAATCCATCCCTTGCCAACTTGACACTCAAACATTTCACTTTAAATCATCACATCCTGGACCTCAAAGGTTCATGGTCATTTCATAAATTCATTGGTATGAGCCTCCATAAATTCATATGGTATGAGTCCATATTTCACTTTGACATTCTAGTCTTTCAGACTCCCACAAGTTAAGCTTTGCTTATAGCATTTTCCATGAGGGTTTCAAATGTTCCAAGCTCTTCATCATGAACAGAGCTGATGTTGAGATTGATGGGGCCAAGTTTTAGCTGTTTTTTTTTTTTTGGTCTTTTTGAGACAGGGTCTCCCTGTAGCCCCAGCCATCCTGGAACTCACTATGTAGACCAGGCTGACCTTGAACTCACAGTCTGCCAGCCTCTGGCTCCTGAGTGCTAGACTTAAAGGCATGTGCCACCATAACTTGAGTAATATTGCCCCCCTGGCACTGGCACCCATAGCACATGTAACTTCTCTTTTGGGCCAGCTCCATTCTGTGCCTGGAGCTTTCTTTGACAGATGTCTCCTTGTCCTGGCATATTCAGTATCCTGAGGTCTCAATTGCAACTTAGGCTTTACCTTCTCAGCTTCATGCAGTGGCCTCTCAACCTCCTTACAAAGTCTCCAACCCTGTTCACATTGTCTGTTCTCAGCAACTTTTTAGAACCTAGGTGTATGCCTTCATGATTCCTTAACTCTTATATTTTTCATGCCTGCAAAATCCATCTGGATCAGCACAGCAGGAGATATTCTGACCCACTTCTAACAAAGCTGTAGTGACCACTTTGTGTCTTGTCAGCTAAACCTGGGAAAATATTTCCCTAAGAGGTATTGTCAGTTCAAGCTCTCTTTCAAGTAGTTTTCATTTATTCTCTCTCTCTTTTTTTTTTTTTAATTAAAAACTATTATTGTGTGAATGTGTTTGTGAGTGTGGGCATGCATGTGCCAGGACAACTTTGTGGTCTTGTTTCCCTCCTTCCCCCTTCTGTGTTCTGAGGACTGAACTCAGGTTGTCAGGCTTGCTTTTACCCATTGCACCATCTCACTGGCCTGAGTTGGCATTTCACAAGTTGTACCTTCCTGAGTGATGTGTTACCTTAAGGATACCTTTCTTATTGTCCCCATGTAAAGTGTGAGATTTCTCCTTAATTGTACTAATCTTTTCTTAAAAATTTTATTTATTTATTTTTATTTTATGTGTATGAGTGTATTGCCTGCATGTATGTGAGTGCACTGTGTTGTGTTATGCCACAGAGGTCAGAGGAGGGCTTCAGATTTCCC